TACTATTCAGGTGGAGATGTGATATACTGATAAATGTTTATGTAAAACTCTCGAACGAGGACGAACTCTTCGGCGATATAAAGTTCCACCCAAGATAAAATGTCCAGACACCCACCGACCCAAACCATCTACAGATATATATTTTGAGTCCTTTAAAAAATTCTGCAAGAAATTCGTAACGGGAAAGGGCGACCATGCCACTATTTTCAAATAGGAATATAATGTAAAATAAAAATCAACATGAATCGAAGCATATATACAAAGCAAATCTGCTCGCTGATTGGTCTGACTGTTAGGTTAAATAGCCAATCAGGCACAAGCTTGTAAGTAGATTCGTATTGACTTTAAACATCTGACAACGTGTATTATACGCGAATGTACAAGTATGATAAATGAATGTGTATTCTTTGTTCTCCATAAAATATCGAAATTGTGGCAGGTGGATTCTACACTTGAGATCTGCATAACTATTCAAAATATTGTTCCAGATAGCTCAAAGCGCGGTGGTCGTCACGCAGCGCGTGTTCAAATTTCATGTAAATAAACAATGTATTTTACACGCGTTGTATACGTCGCTATATCGAACAGGACGCGGCACGACGACTGCCACCCTTTAATATACATCGTGCCTGTCACGTGGTACAGTTTCCGTTGTGTGAGCTCTGAGTCCAAAACCATATAGCGAAAAGTGCGTTGTGTCGTCACAGGAAGCTGCAGCGTCAATGCGAAAAGTGCGAGGGATGTCGTCACCTGCGCATGTGTCAGATGGCCATAGCGTGTCATTGTTTACAAAACAAGCGTCTACCCATGAGCCTTTACGTTTTTAGTGTGTGTTGTTATCGTCGCTTGGGACTCAATTCCCGCGCTTGCGCAGGTGACGACCCCCCCCCCCCCCGCTGTAAGCTAGAGTAATCTTCTCGATATTACAGCAATTCCAGGCACTGATTTGACGCTGAAGTAGTGCTAGATGTTGATAACTTACTACAATAGGTTACACACTTTGTTTTCACATTTACAGAAGTTGATACAAATAATGCAGACAGCATGTCTGCGATTTGAAGCGCACCGGAAGAAAACTCCGCCCATAAAAGTGGCAGTACACATGGTCACACGTCCGGGGAGGGTTGCCGCTGTACACAAGTAAATGCGCGGTCACAATGTTTTATATAATATTCGACATAGTCTATAACGTTGTCAGTTTCCTGGCAGGATACTCTCGGTGGTAACAAACCGTTTGACGATATTATAAGCTGTCTGCTTTGAAACACCATTTCGATCATATTTTTTTTTTTTTTTTCTTTTACTAATATCTGATTTGTAACCCTTTTCATCCCCTCCGGGGGATGTTGTGTGTTAATAAATAAATAAATAAATAAATAAATAAATAAATAAATAAATAAATGTATCTAATCTCAGCAAATGACAGTCCACGAAAATACAAATCGACAACTCTTGTTCTCACTTCAACTGTTTTTTTGACTCCTTGCTTCTCCATCGTGGTGCTTAAACAACTTGGACAAATGCCGATTTGTAGACACGCAATCTACACGATGACCGACCAAAAGTGAATGAAAGAAAGACGCGCCTCAAAGTCTAGGTGTACCTGACTTTGTAGCAAAAATAAAAAACATTGTGGGGCAATATCTGTCAATCATTCCTCTGATTGTCGATGTTTATATTTCTAGTTACAACTTCTGTAAATGTGAAAACAAAATATGTAACCTATTGTAGTAAGTTATCAACATCCTGAACTACTTCAGCGTCAAATCAGTGCCTGGAATTGCTGCAATTACAATCCTTAAAATATAATTTCGTTGGTCTTTTTAAGTTTCACATTCAATCAAGAAGTATTCAACTTTAAAGGGCGTGGTTGTCGCGCTGCGCAAGTGCGACATTTGTGTTGATAAACATTGATTTTCCCACAATTCAATGCACTTTTCTAATGGAATCACAAGTTAGAGGTTTGACCTGGGCGCGACTTGCATCAATTACTGCCGGTGACTCCTTTGATACCTTTCAATCATCCAAAAAAGTACGTAATTAAAGTGAGACCAGACTCCTCGAAACTTATCCCTTGAAACAACTCATCTATTTACAAGAAAAACATGTACCCCGTATTAGTACACTAGATCATTGCCACATATTACACATATCAATACAGCAAGAATACAATTCCTTTGATTCTTGAAAATGTCAAAAATAGGCCCTTTGACCATTTTAAAAACATAATTTATAAACCACTTGGGTGCCTCGCATACTAAATTTCCACTATTGCTTGCACTGGTGTAAACAAAACCAGATTTAACAGGCGATTGGTCTCTTTGATCCAGGGAAAAGTGACCATGGGTTAACTTGACATTACATGTTTATAGAATAATTCACAACATGCTTGATATGTAAAGGTCAGAACAAGAAACACACTTTCTACATGGTTTAGAAGTTACGAGTGACTTCAAAACCATGTACATGTAGTATGGGTGTTTTATGTTCTAACATGGCTGCAATCAAAGATGGGCATTATCACTATCGATTATGCCATGATGAAAGTGTACTGGTATTGATTCTGGTGATGAAATTGACATATAATCACCAGACTTTTGCTATAGAATAAAGTTCCAGGCAGTTCAATACATCCGCTTCAAATGATGTTCACATTCTAATCTCTTGATTGGTGGAAATGTTATCAAAACTTTTGATTGAAATTTGACATTGCACATTAATTGTTCGTCTTTAATACAATAAATCCAGTCATGCATTTCATTGCTGAAAGTAATGTTTGTTTAGATGCGTTGGGAACAAAAAAGTCAAAAGGAAGGGACATAATGGCTATCCAGGAAACAACTCAAAGGATCTCAGATTTATCTTAATAAAAAATGATTCGCATTTGAAATATTGATTTTGACATAGAATGTTGTGCGTAATTTGACAACACATGATGCTGAAGGTAAATTAACAAACAAATCCCTTGCACTGCTTGATAATGTTTGGCGCAGGCAAGAACTTCTAAAGCATCTAAAACATCTTGCGAATATCGTAGCTATTGCATTTATCCCAGTACACATATTACTCTGCAGGTTAACGGATTCAAAATTTTGCTGACAAAACAAGTTCAATAGAGGTTGGCATGTGTCAAGATCTGTGAAAAGCATGCATCTCTAGTGAACATTCATTCAATATAAACACTGCTTATATACACAGTCCCAAGGTTGAGGGACTGTTATATAGTAACACACGACAGAAACATGAGCATTTTTTTTATCATGGTTTATTATTCCACTTTTTGAGTGTCCCTTGCCAACCAATTTGACAATAGAAAATACTATACACAGAACAATTTAATTAACACATATTAATGGCATTATGCCAGTCATAATTTCCGTGTAAGTCTCAAACTAAAAACAGAGAATAAAAAAAAAATTACAGCACTGTAACCAATTTGAAATAATACCTGATGAAATTTACCTTGTTTGTAGAAGAGGGTGGGGTGGGGTGGGGTGGGGTAGGGAGGGGGTCAGAGGTAGGATTTTTTTTATCTGGTATGTGAACATGTAGTTCCATTTCTCACTGGGTATCTACAGTTAACGCAAGATGCCTAAATAAATTGAAAGACCAAATGCAGTGTACACACAGCATTAACACAAGGCATACAGGCACACCAGTTGTCAGCTTTATTGCAAGACTCATTCGTTTCATGTTACTTGTAAAGCATTCATTTTCATTATTTCTGATCATTCTCATTGAGGTTTAAATTTTCCAATAAAACAAATAGTTCTATTGTAATTTAATATGTTCATCAGTGAAAATAGTAAAATTAAAACACATTGCATAATTAATGTGTTTATAATACTTGTAGCCATGCTCCCAATCACCCACTATAACGTGACTTCACCTTCACTTCACTTGTGCAGGCTACAACAAAAATTGCACACAATTTAATATGTTGAAATGAGAGCTGATTAAAAATTGGAATTTATCAAAATTGTGCGATTTGATATCCCCTAAATCTAAGGGGAACTGACTAAAACGCTCAAGTATAATCACATGGTGGTGGATTTTCATGATACAATACAGACAACTGTAAACCCCCCTGACCCATGAACAAAAACATCTAGAACCACTCAAATTATTACTCTTGCCCCTCCCATGCTATGAAAATTTAATGAATATAGTATATGAATCTCTTGTTAGCATTTTGACATGTCATGATTTTAGTTGCTGCTTAGCAAGTTCAGTAAATATGTGTAAACATGACATAAAATTGTGTTTTCACTTGACAATTGCTTAAAAATACTCTTGTCTGGATGGTTTCTATTTCGCATTCCATAAATATTGTTTTGAAAAGAAAAAGAAGTAATATGCTGCTAGGTTAGACTCCACCGTGATGGTGGTGGTTCTGTTTTAGCTGCTAGGTCCAGCTCCTCCAGAATGGTGATGGTCTGGTTCTACACCAGCAGATTTTCGAAGGTTGTCCAAATACTCCTGATGAGACGCAGCTAACACACGGGCAAGAAGGGCATCATCATCATCCCAACCAGACAGTCCTGTAATATAAATACAGAAACTATTTTACTAGAAATTAAAAGTTGAATTGGTTTTAATGTGATGTAATCAAAAATAAATAAAATAATACTTTTGTCATTTTCACATATGACGGAGAAGCATCCAAGATAATTTTACCTTGTATTCACAAGAAAAAAGTTGCGTAACAGATAACAAGAATATTTTTTGCACTTTGTAAGATGTTTGTGAAAAGACGAAATATCCTGTTTTAGAAATTATGGAGCCTTGCCCTTGGATACCACATTTATGTATCTATGCATCAAATACTTTACTACGGACACAGTAGAATGATTGATCACAGCCTGTATGCCATTTGTTATCCAACTAAACCACTGGTGAACATGTTCAAATACAAGAACAGTGTAATTTTCTGTGTGATACAATAATTTGAAATTGTGATAGTCACAGATCACAGATACAGCTGTCTCTAAAAAAATAAAGCAGTTTATTTTATGACTGGAAGTCCAGGCATACTTGACAGAATAAAACATGTATATTTACCAGTAGGTAAATGTATGACATGTTTTGTTTTTGTATAGAAGTTTGATAGAAATCGTTACAGATGCAGGTCCAAGAAATGACCCCAGACGGACCAGCTAATAAAGTCCAAGTGAATAGTTCCGGTTTGGGGACTAAACTGGGACTATATTAGCTTTTGTGACACCAAAAACCAATATCTATAAATCACATATTTCTGAAAGGAAGAACTTACCATAATGAGCTGGGGATAATTCTCTTATGTACGTTTCTGGTTGAAATGTTTCTAATGCTGTGGCACCCGCTGTGCTGGGTCTGGGAGAGGATGGTCTACATGCACCCTGTGGTGATCCCATAGGAGGTGTAGAGATAGGCGAACTAAAACTGGCTATTAATGGGTTTTCTGCAATTCAAATGTAGAACAAGTGAAGAACAAATGAGTAAAGATATAACATCATGTCATATTTATATATAAATCTTTTATAAATTTGATATGGTGGTTGAAAACAAGAGGAATTACAATTGCTTTAAAGGATACACAACAGTAAACTGGCCAATGATTGAATGACTGACTGATAATGGGAGTTATCAAATCTTATATACTAGCCAATGGAAGCATATTGTATGCATTTGAACAAAGCAAAAGGGTCTTCCAGGGTTAATTTTTTTATTAATATTTTATAAATTTCCATAAAAATCATTAATGAAATTCACTGTAATTTGCAGTTTCTCATGTTCTTACCTGTAATATTAGCTAACGGACTTCCAACATTTGGGTGGAGCGGTGACTGTTGATGTTGTTGTTGTTGTTGTTCTACGGGCTGTATAGGAATGTGGGGAGGGGAACCATGGTTACTACCACGGCTGAGAGGTGAATGACCTCCAGCACGACGTTGCTGTTGTTGTGATCCCTCACCAGATGTGGATACATTGTCCCACCAATTGCTGGAAGTACCACTCACAGACGTTGCACTAGCACTGCAAGACTGCAAAACAAAAGCAATCATCCCATTTTAATACCATGAGTCAATGTGGACAAAGAAACCTGCACTAATGTTCTTGATGACATAAGTAATTACATGAGTAATTCTTGGGGGCTTGGATGTAATTTTCATCTTGACCTTTTCACCACCTAAATTTCTCGCCCAAATTTGTCTTCACTTTTTCCTTATATTCTGCAATATTTCTAGAAATGAACCCTAATTTTGGAGCCAACAGACAAAATTTGAGTCAATTTTTAGTTTTTACTCAAAAATTCAGCTATTTTTGTTCCAATCTTCTAAAGAAAAGTGCAGGAATGTTTTGTGAATTTGTGATGAAAAGAGGGAACTGGAACTGGTGGTGAAAAGGTTAAAAAGGTGAAAATGTTGAATATTGAGTCAATTATAGCAGGGCTTTTCCTAATTTCCGAAGTAGGCAACTAGATTAGAAAAGTAGGATGAGGAGGCCAAAATGTAACACTTAGGTTGCAAGTTTAAAAAATACAAAATAGCCAACTGAACAAGCTAAGTGGATATCTATTTTAACCAACACCCCCTTCTTAACAAAACTTGTGATTAGTGGTGATTACATATTTCAAACAGCGATGGCTGCACAACTCTAATCATTGGTATAAATTCATATATGCTTACAGTTTCGTCTTTTCTGGCTCGTTTTTCATTATCCTGTAACCACTGTAAATAAGATTCCCTGGCTATTTGTTCTTCAATAGCCTCGTTAGTGGCCTCCCAGTCGGTGGCTTTTAGTTTGTCTTCTAACATAGCATGCTCTATATGCCAATCTTCGGAAACTTTCACAGCATCATGTAATAGATTTGTATCAGCTTGCTTAAACACAAATATAAGAGAAACACTTGTGAGTTTTCTGTTATCAAACTGTAAGCAAGCAGACTGATATCTAATTACCGGTACATCTGAATAAACTGTATTAAAGTGTTGCAGTGACCATGGTAACACCTCAAATGCTGCAAAAGTATTTTATTGCGAAAGATGCATTTGAACACAGTCCAGTAATATCAAAAATGGTCTGCACCAACAATCCAAACACTGTATTAGCTCCACTCAAAACACATTTCCTTGTGAAAATTCAAGATTTTGTTTTGATCAAAATAAGTATAAAATAAGATATCCAACATATCTACAATATGGTAACAGCCAAGCTCCGGTGAAAAAGCGTTTTCTCTAACTTACAGGTCGATTATGTCATGCCAAAGTGGATGTATGTGACTACGAATATCACAGCAGTGACTGTGTTTAGTATTTATGACAATAAATAGTGTACGAGCTGAGATTTTGTCGGATAAAAGTCAAAAACACGAACCGGGGAAAGGGGCGCGCTACTAATCTTGAATAATTAACTACTGTCAATCAAAGTTACCTGATGTTGGACCGCTGAAACAGGATGCGTCATAGGCTATGCAAGTGATTAACAACACTCATTAGCATAGCCACACCTCCAATTCACACTTGCCCAGGGCAAGTAAATTGGGCCTTTAATAACCATGAGAATTATGTCAAATCTAAATTTGTTGGCTATGTACTGCAGTTTCAATTATTTTAAAATCAAATATACAAAATTAACTATTTCTAATTCTCACAATATTAACAGGATTCATTTTGTGTCAGTTTCAAAAATTACCGGTATCATGAAATGTGTTAAGGACACTGATAGAATCATTTCGAAAGTTAGTAAAAATGTTGTCATTCAATGTTTCTAAAAATCATAAATATATTATTGTTACTGCACTTTTATTCAGCCACCTGTCATTATAGATGAACACTCCACATTATAGACAGGTATATTTTTTTTATTACACATGCAAAATTTCTACAAACCTCTCCAAATTATGATTCAAAATCATCTGTAAATTACTAAATAACCATAAATACAAAAAAGTGATTGTAAATTTGTGGTTACAGACTTTGGACTGCTATCTTTTCATTTCAATAAAGTTTTATAGCTATAACGAGTGTTCTCCCAGGCCTCTGAAGTGACACGGTACCGTGACGCTTGGACACTCGGCCATGATGCTTGCCCTTTGTCAGTGACGCTTGGTCACTTGCTTGTGATGCTTATTGCTTTGTTTACAAGTGTCAGTCTCGTCTTGCACGAATTTAAAGCAATAGCATGTATTAATCGAAAGGTAATCCCGCTTTTGTTAGCCATACAAAGACAGTGGTAAAAACGGAAGTCAGCAATAAGTTGTGAAGTCTTTCAAGGGTGCAGAGCCTCCGA